TTGAGGACGATTGTCCATCATCAACTGAGTGGATCATTCTCTTTAGATGATCCTTGGTGCCCCGAATGGTCGGGCCACAGCTTGCGAATTCGCCTGCTATAGTGTATATCGGGTCCTTTTTAGTATCCAAGCAACTAGTAGGCTGGTAGTTTTTAACGACTGCCCCAGATTTGTCTTAGAAGTTGCTTTAGACTTCAAGACATAGGACTTCAGCAGGCCCTTGTCAGCCAGACGGTCCAACGTCCGCTTGAGACTATAGCAGTCGTTGGTGTCATGGCCCACCTCCTGATGGAAGTGGAAAAATTTATTCTTGTTCCGCGACTGAACGGAACTCTTCATAGGGTTCGGCTTCTCAATAGTCAGCCGGTCCTTCACCTCTGTAAAGATGGTGTAGCTGTCTTTATTGAATCCATACCGTGAGACTTACGGTTTGAATTCTTTCTTTTTATTTTTGGACATCTGGTCAGGTTCTTCAACTGCCCAAACTTTTTTTCTCTTTTTGCTCTCTTCAACTCTCTAAGCCGGCTGAGCAGATCGACTCTCTTTATGTTTGTCGGAATTCTTGGAGTCCGATTGATGGTTGGACGAGCAGAGGTCAGTGGTTTGAATAAATCTTTCCGCCTCTATCAACGCATCTTGAAGGGTGAAAACCCTCTTTCGAACAAGGTCAAACTTAAAATTTGACCCATCCTTCAGACCCTTGAAGAAGTTTGTATAGGCTACCTCATCAGGCATCCCTTGAGTTTGAATTCTCACTTGGTTGAACCGCCTGATGTAGGACGAAGTCCTTCTAAATCTCCCTGTTGGATGGTGCTTAAGTCGAGACTTGTTTTCTTGGTAGGGATGTTCATTGAGAAGTTAAAGGCAAGATTCCTAAAGTTGTCGATGCATCCGACAGGCAGGTTGCCAAACCATTATTGGGCAATGCCCTTCAATGTAGCCGGGAAGCATCGGCACCACATAGCATCCTCCAGCCCCTGCATGTGCATGAGGTTAAAGTAGGCCATGAGGTGGTCCTACGGGTTTGTGATACCATCATAAGCACCCACCAACACATTCTTAACCTTGGCCGGCTGTGCAACCTCGTTATCTCCTTGGTAAATGCAAAAGTTTGTTCACCAAGTTTAAGCAAATGGAGCTGACAGTCCAAAGGTTGAACGCTATATACCGCCTGTTCCCTAAAGAGGGTCGGCTGCATGAAGTGAAGAGAATATGGACCATAGACCGTAGGGGGTACGTACGGTGCATTCCCAATAATCTAAGGGCAAGAATGGACGGTATTACAGCCTGTACGGCTCTCATGCAAGGATTGAATATTCCTTGCAGATGTATTCTTGAAGACGCCTGGAAAGCTCAAAGTAGAGGCTGACTCAGTCAGCTGCTGACTTCTCCTGCGCTCAATGATTTGCCAAGCATCGGGATTAGATTTTTTATTACCCACCGGTTGTTCCTCTTGGCAGCGATTTCTTTGATTCTTCTGGGGCAGAAAAATCTTGGACCAGTCTAGGGTCCCAGCTGCCTTGTCCTTTGGATGCGGAGTTGGTTTCCTGTCCCTGACTAGCTTCCTCCTCTCTAGAGGAGTTTTCCTTGCTGACTGACCCTTGCTTGGGCCAGTCTTACTTTTGGTGATCAGATCCTTGATTTCACCCTTGAAACTAGTCATGAATTTCATGATTTCGTCCCAGGTGACTGGGGCAGATCCGTTTTCCGTTTGGGTTTCCCCTTCCGGCTGACCAGTGTGCCTGCTTGTACCCGCCTGGCTTGCACCTTGTTCTAGAGTGTCTCTAGGACAGATGCGCTTGGTAATGAGAAAGCCATATTTGGCTATTTAAGTTTTGACCTGAGGATCCTCATCCTCATGATCAGTAAAGACCTCCGACTGATTAATCGTGAGGTCAAGAGGTGGTACATACTCTTGAACCATCCTTGAGGTACTCTCCCCACAGACAGCGCCAAATGTTTTGGGTGTTTTTGTCCCTCGGGAGAGTTACAACTCGAGGATTGATTCGACTGCACCTATACCTATAAAACAACGGAGACTCCGGGTGTTTGGAGCTCCGCCTCCAACGATCAAGTTAGTACTTGAGTATGAACGGGAGAAAGTGCGGAAAAAGAGATGAGATCTTCTCGGATTCAGAGATCGGGTGTTTCTTTGATGTGCGAGAATGTAGGGTAGGTGCAATAAATTATTGAATCTGTCCCAAAATTTGGGGAATATCTTCTTATTAATAGGGTCATTAGAGAACGTGCCCCTTCTAGGTCATTTGACCTAGATTTGGTGGGCTGCGCCGTTTTACGGCGTTCTTGGGAATTGGGCCTTGAAGGCCGCAATTCTGGAAAGCATCTGAGGCTAACACGTGTCAGTTGGATACTGGCCCAAATGGACCTTCCTAGGCTTGACACGTGGCCCTCTCTGATTGGTCCACGTGGATAGGGTAATTTTACCCAAAACAACCCTGCTCTTATATTTTATTAATTTTTTTCGGAAGGTAATCACACTATCGATCTTTTGGAGTTGCTTGATTCTAATGTGATTGTATTAAATTATTAGAACTGTTTGGTCATAATTTGTTTATTAATTGTACTTTGTATTATTATATGTGTAAATTTTATAATTGTAATTCGTGTTATCAAGTTTGTTTATGTATATGATTGACTATTGGTATTATATGATTTGATTGGATATGAGTATCGTATTAATTTTTTTGGTTATGATTGATTATTTCTAGGGTTTTTAATGTTGTTTATACAGGGAGTATTGTTTTATCAAGGTTTTAGGGTTATTAGTGCATAGTATTATTTTGGATTGATTTACTAGTATGATTGCCCTATAAGAGTTGAGATATAATATGATTGAATAGAGTTTGAATTATTATATTATTTGGGAGTCCATGCCATTGTTGAGATATTATTTATTATCAACTGAAAGATTATTTGATCGAGTATGAGATCAAAAGGTTGAACATATTATTTTGTTATTAGTTTGAGGCTCGGCGTTATAGACCTTAGTCCTTGGCATATTGGTAATGAGATAATGATCATGAGTTAAGAATGAGGTACAATCTTTATTATTTATTTTTCTATGGTCCTCTACAATGGGAATTAACCCATATGTGGTCTAGTTTAAGGTGTTTTTCTGGTTATTGAGAGTATTCAAGTTTTTATACATGTTGGTTTGTTATTCAAATTACTCATGTCCAAGGCTAGATATAAAACAAAGAGCGTAGCACATTTATGGGACAGATGAGTTGAGTAAAGGTTCGTATTATTTTTCGAGGTTGAGTTGATAAAGCTATTTTCAGAGTACAATGTGTAAAGTAGTTTTAAACTACATTATTTAATTGAGCTAATAATGTTGATTATTCTATTATTCTTTGTATTATGACATGTGGTGATTACTCACTTTTGCTAGTGTGAGTGTTTGTTTGTTTGTTTAGTTACTTGTGTTTGCGGCCATGTCTTTTTCTTATGGTGGCCCTGCGACGATCTATTTTGGAATTTGTCTTTAATGGTGAGCAGTCAAGGTTGTGACAGGTTAATCAAGTGATGATTGTAATAAAAGGAGCTCAAGTGTTTCGATTAGTTTGCTATGATGAGTTTGAAAAGTTGTATAAATAGCTCTCCTAGTTTATTGAGTTGTACAGTTGGGATTTTGTAAGCCTTAACACTTGACAGGTTGTTGAGTGTGACGGTGATACCTCCGATTTAGGTGTACGCTTCCGCAATTTTTAATTAAAGGTTATCTAATTTTCCTCTATTTGTTGTTTATAATTAATTAGTAAATCGAGGGTGTTACAAAATGCCTAAAATGTCTTCTATCTTTCCGATTCTTGTATATGATAGCCAAAAGAAGGAAGTAAGGCCTATTTAGTTCTAATATGGTTAATTATGTTAGCCTAGGCCTTAACGTCACTTGTTATTGAGAAAGACCTCATGCAGCAGTGGCTCAGAGGTCACCTCGCATCCTTGAGGTGCGAGGTTCGATTCTCGAGGCATTGCCAGCCAGGCTTATGTGATGGACCCTTCTAATAGAATCCAGTTGACCTTACCTTATTATTTTCAAATTTGACAAGTTTATTGCTATTTTGAATACAAAACCTCAAATTTGGCTAAAGATACCTTCTTTACCCCTTTTTGTTGTATTACATGAACGAATTAACACCCTTTTCCATTCAAATAGCAATTATTATGTGAATTATAATCTTTATTCTCATGCATGAGAAAATTTGACAAGCTTAATGAACATGACCCACCCCCTTGCTCCCTAACCCCAGACCCACTGCAGCAGCAACCACTGCAACAAGCCAGCAGCAACCACCAGACTACGAGGCCAACATCAACACTCCCCAACCCCATGAGACCAGCGGCATTGGGCTGGTGTTATAGACAACTTGTATAATTTACTGATTAAGAGGAAATTTGAGGGGGAAAGCTTGGAAATTTGATTAACAAATTGATAATTTCTTACAAAAGGTAGTAGGTTTAGCATACAAAGCTCATATTAGTGACTTAATGTCACAACTCTCCTAATAGTGACTAAAGGCAACAACTCTCCTAAGGAAATACTCCAAAATTCTGTCTGCCTTCTCCTTTCCCCTCTATCTATTTATACTAAAACTAAGGACTATAAACCTAATAAGGCAAAAGCTAATGAGCGCCCCCGGGGCGTTAGATAAGAGAATTAAAGTGTAAATATTAGAGTAAAATTAACATTAATTACACCGAACGACGCGTGATTTTGTCATGAATTCCTAACTTAATACCATTTCAAAACAATATAATTTATCCTTATCTAACGCCCCGGGGCGCTCGTTAGCAAGATCGACCTAATAATACTAGACTACCAATATTGCCCTTCCTTAGGTTAATCTAATAGAGCAGGCAGCATGTACTCGTACTATAATCATTATTTGGTTTTTTTTTACAGCAAATGTACAAATGACATTAGCCTAACTTTAGCACCAAGAAGTAAAAATTAAAATATTTAGACTCTTGTATAGTATTTAAGTTGAATCTAATGAGATTTCATATGATTATAAATATTCTTGCATACAAATCCCAAAAAACGGTCAATGAAGTGTATGGATAGTGAAAGTCAAACTTAATTAATTAAAAGCATGACTTATGAACAGAGGACACCACAAACTTGCAAAAATCCACATCTTTCAGAAATACATTACAATGAATCCTACATATCATGGACCTGAAATATTAAGAACCTAGTCACTGACTCACTGCACGTTAAAAATTCTCCTAGTCCGAAGATGTGATTAGCTGCAAATTACCCAAACTTCAGAGCACAGTTCAGTAGCATTCAAACCAGCCTTGAGCTTGACTAAACAATACCAGAGATGTTCTCCAGATCACCCATTGACATCCAGCTTTTCTTAAGTGGGCTTGAAAGCATTGCTTTAAGAAAAAGTTGACCTACTATACCCAGGGAATATCCAATCAAAGTTCCTGTGCAGTGCATTCAAAGCTCATAATCGAAAACTTCTTGCTGCGCCTCAAGATTCAAGACACACAAGAAATGGTACTGATCCTTTTACGCTCCCGTTGATCCCCAACTGCATGCTTGCAAAATCTATTACAAATCTTTTAGCCGCTGCATTCTACCTTATGGACTGAGAATGATCTTCATGAAAATGTTATTGACAGTGCAGACACCCGTGAGATTACATAGTCATCGACCATTAATATAATGTTTGTGTTTCCTCGTGTGTCTCTCAGAATCTGAATCCTCTGATAAACTATATTCAGAATCATTTTGGGTCTTCTAAGACCTGCATCTTTTACCTTTTTTGCTTGACTTCTCTTCACCTGATGGGCCACCTTCATGCAAAGATTTCGACTTTTTATGTCTACGTAAATCCTTATGCTTACTTCTTCCATGATACCTTTCATCAACTGAATCCTCTGACATGCTAGAATGAGATAAATCCTTTCTATTCGTCTTGTTATGTATGCGCCTTTTTCTTGACCTTCTTTTGTGCTCATAGCTATCAGAGCTAAAGCTGCTCTCTTGATCAGTATCCAAATGTAATCTCCGTTGCTTATGCTTACTACTACTTTTACCCTTTAATTTACCACTGTCACCATGAGACACAGGACTATTGCCTTCATGACTTTGTCTGTGTGAAGCCCACTTCTGTTTTCTTTTGCTGCTATGTTTCATTTTTGAGCTTCTTCGGTCATTGTCCCTATCTGAAGAACTGCTGTCTTCATCATGATCTTTTCTACGTGATATATTCTTCTTATAGTTTTTACCTTTAGACTTCTTTTTATGAGTTATAAAGTTGAAATTAGTCAGCAACTCCGGTATATTTCCCCCATTGAGAAATCCTGCACAAGATTATGAGCAACAAACTACGCATCATTCTAAATAGTATGAAGCCAAATAGTAACAGGGTGTGCATGAACTAAACTGTACTTTACCTCCATACTCATCAAATATATCCTCATCAGCAACTATCTGCTGGTTAGGATCATCTAGGTGAAATCCACCACGTGGAGGGTTGATACCTGGTTTCTGCTTCAACTCCCACTTTAAAGGCTAACAATGTAACAAAATAAAATTAAAAAAAAAAAAATAGAAAACGAAAAGAAAAAAAAAAATTATAACTTGAACAAGCACGACATCAGAACTAGGGATTAACAAAATATTATTTGACTGTTAAAACAAATGCACTGCGAAATTGACAACCTACAATTAACACAACAATTATACAAGGTAAAAAAAATGTGAATTAATCAATAAAAAGATACTACATATAAACACCTAAAAAAGGGTCTTCAGTTCACACTTCCATAATCAATTCATTTTATTGATGGAAGCTGATGTGAAATTACCACCCAATCATTCAAAATTAATAAATATCTTAACTTCCAAGAGGCTTCTTGGGGTTTCCGAATTTTTGGAAGAAAAATAAAAGGGATAAAACTTTATTCAAAAAGGCAATAGGAGTGAGAAAATCTCATCAATTCATAATTCATCAAATGCTGTCAACATAAAGCTGTTTTTTGCTATAGCCAACATAATCCTAGTTAACTTATACTGATAGATCTGAGATTAAATAAAAAAATCAAGGACTTTAGTATATACAAAAGAAAGTTTAAATCTGCATTCTTATGTATTGTGGGAGGTGCACCAAAAGTTGTAGGTACGGGCAAAACACAAACATAGGTCTGAACGAACTAAAGCTAAAAATCGTTTCCATCAATCAACTTAAAGTGGGAAAGTACCTCAGGATGATATGGTTTAGGCACACAGCCACACCTAATAGCTTTCTTACCCAAGGAAATCCTAACCTTCTAAAGAGTCCTTATTGCAGTTATTCAACGTCACATAATTAGCTTAAAGACTAAAGAGCACATCCAAATAGTTGTTTCAAAGCCAAAACGCTAGCAATTTAGACTTGGGTGATACATCCATATTCAACTCATGGGCTTCTTAGATGCTCCCACACTAGATCTTATTTGTTAAAAACGAATTGACCTCATTTTTCTAGAGGTAATAACAGAACTAACACAGCCAAATGGAAGATGATGCCTCGTTAAAAACTATTAAGCCTAGTCAAAATAAAACATCTTGAACCATTGCATCGGCCCAAATCCAACACCAATTATTGTCAATCCGTAATCACAAGCATCCCATGTCAGAACAATATGACAACCATGGCGGTTTGCCAATAAGAGTAAACCCATCATTGACCAAGAAAGCTTATTAAAAATCTTATAATACAACTTTAGTAGAGAGAAAGCAATTTTAACTTCTAACTTCAAGGTTACATGAATCAAAGACGAATTAAGCATCATAAAAGAAGATGTCACATTCAAACATTTCTCTTACAGTATGGTAACATACAGTAAACAAGAACTAAGCATAAGAGACGCTTCATCAAAAACACATTCAACAAGTGCAGGTCCAGTACAAATCCCGAGTTCATCAAACATGTAGTATAACCATATTAAGATCTTAATAATGATCATAGTCCACCTGTAATCCTTCTAATATTCAAATTCAAATAGGTGTAAAACTCTAAGAGTAATAAGGTAGTTCATTCATACTAGTACGAAATTTAAATTCCTAATGACATGAAGAATAAAGAAAATTAAATATGTAAATAAAAAAAATAAAAAACAGATGAGCTACACTATATAGTGAGGTGAGATATTGGAGGCGTGGCTTCCTAGTCATAGAATGACGCACCAAAATTAACCTTGAAATCATCACAAAAAAAATTGAGGAACCAAAATGTAGATCTCATCATCTGAAAGAGTGCTTTTTAGTTCTTTGCTATGAACATAGAACAACCTTGTTCTTCCGACTTGTATCCCTTATTCTAGGACATATTACAAGTCCATGATATTTTGAAATATTCTATCAACAATGCTCTCTAGGTTTTGCATCTAGCAAGGCAATACTCATTTCCTCTTCTATACTCACAGCCATGTATGAATCTATTATCCATGTTGCTAAGCTTATACTTTCTCCGTTCCCCTAGTATTGCAACAAGGGGAGAAGACACGAAATTTAAGATAAGGAGAGAGATAGAGAGATATAAAGATAGGGACCATGTGATAAGGAGAGAGATGGAGGGAGGGAGAAACAGACAAAGCATCCACATATAAGGTAATGTTGCAATATTTGAGAAACTTTTGAAAATGGTAATCGTTGCAATATTAGGGGAATGGAGGAGTATTAAAAAGCACATCAAAGGCACAAGGCAAGGGCGCAATGTGAGACAGGGCGTAACAAAAAATCACATAAGAAGTCAAAAGCATGGGGAATTCTAATGGCAAGGCAAGGAGTGCGCCACATAACACCTTTGGTGATGCTCTTAGGTCACCATCTATAGAGATGCATGTACAATTGCAGATTTGAGTAAACTTCAAGGTTATTAGGAAAATTTTCATCAAATTAAAACGTAAAATGCCTAGGTAAATTAGAGAAAAGAGAGAAATTCAAAGATTGAAATTTAACTTAAAGATCATTCTAGCTAATGTTCCAGTCTCTTGATACCAGTTTGATGTGAAACTATCACTAAATCATTCAAGACCTATGAAGGGCTCAATTTCAACAGAACTTTATTTTTGGGATTTTAGAGGAAACAAAAAGAAATACAAATAGAATGAACAAAATTTGATTCACTAATCACAAATATTTATGAATTCAAATTGAAGAAAAAATTTTGATTCCCTAAACACAAAGATTGGGATGTTTACAAAGAGGCAATATAAGAGATATTTCTCTTCAAATCATAAATCATTAAATATTCAATACAAAGAGTTTCTCACCCTTTCTACAATTAGACAGTATAACCATTATTAAAATTAGCTATAGAATTCAATTCAAGAATCAAGATCAACTTTAATGTGGTGGTGTAGCATTCGTGAGGACACATCACAAGAAGCAAGCGCACCTAAGCAAGTGTGTGAGACTGAACCCTCACCTACACTAAGACTCACGAAATAGAGAGAATTCAATGAAGACAAAGCAAATAAGGAAGCAAGCAATGGTGATTCATTAATTGAAAATAAGGGATAAACAGTAGGTTTAGCCTACTACTCTCCAAGATAGTATCTTTAGAATACAAAGCTCATTAAACAAGTCTCATCACATACCCTACTCTTAACACAAAACATTCTTATATATACAACTAAGGCTACATTGCTCTTTAATTAGTTTTGTCTCCTTCTACTGCGATTTGATGCTTTATTGGTGTGTTGCTCCCACTACTAGGTGTTGCTCCCTTCCTCTTCTGAAATTGCAGACCTTAACTAACTTTGTCTTCTTGTAGAGGCCTTGTTAAATGTTGCCTGCCTTCCCCTTCCTTTGATAGTACCACTTAATGGGTGGTTTAGGTGTGGAAATAGGACCGTTAGCTTGATCTATTACATCACCCCCTGGGTGAACTTTCACCTTGTCCTCAAGTTGGAAGGTCGGAAACCTCCGATCAATAGCACTCCCATCATCCTACGTTGCCTAAAAAAGTGGCAATCCCTTCCATTTAATGAGAACCTCAAGTCCATGCTTGCCATACCTAACCCCTAGCAGCTCTTCTAGTTGGCAGCAATACTAACTTTGAGTTTTTCGGGAACAGTTGGATTAACTAGCTGCTCACCAACGGCCTCTTAAGTTGCGAAATGTGAATCACAAGAAGTATCTTGCACGTAACTGAAAGTAAGAGTTTATGGGTGTGTTTGGTAAAAAGCTTTTTAAAGAGCTTTTAGCTTATTTTGTCCAATTAGATGTTTAACCAATTAAAAAAGCTAATTTGAGTGTTTGGTATACAACTTATTAAAAGAGCTTTTTGGGCTCAAAAAGCTCTTTTAGAAAAAGCTCATTATAAGAGCTTTTTAAAATTAGTTTATTGTACAATTAGTTTTTTGTTTCTTAAATACATTAAAACAGCTAACAATTAACAGCTATTTACCAAACATTTTTATACAATCAGCTAATCAAAACCAGCTAGTCAAACCAGCTACTATAACCAGCTAGTCAAACCAGCTATTATAACCAGCTAATACAATCAGCTACCAGCTAATTACCAAACAGGGCCTATACGCCACTTCCCAATTTTCAGGAGTACTCGGTATGGACCATAAAACCTTGCTGCTAGCTTCTCGTTGGGTCTACGAGCCAAGGAACGCTGCATGTACGGTTGTAATTTGAGGAAGACCCGATCCCCAATTTCGAACTCTTCCTCTCTAGCAACAGCATTCGCCTTCATAATTTGCTGAGCTCGAAGTAAATTAACCTTCAACCCTCTCTGCTCTCACACAGAGTGATTCATGCCCATAAACCACCTTTAATAGTATCATTTGGGTAGATGTGTAGGGTGATGTGTTGCAAGAATACTCAACCCAAACTAACCACCACTGAGCCCACGACTTGGGTTTATCGTTGGCGAAACACTGCAAATAAGTTTCCAACCCATTGTAGGCTTGATTGCCCTGTCAGTCAGCGGGTGACACGAAGTGCTACGCTTCAAGTGAGTACCCTGTAGGCGAAATAGTTCCGGCCAGAAATTACTCATGAAAACTCCGTCTCCATCCAAAACAATGGAGGTAGGAAACCCATGCAACTTGACTATGTGACTAACAAATAGTTCCCACTTCACATCGCATTCCCGTCCAAAACCAATCTGCAGCCACACGATTGTAGGTTTTTACCTCCCCCTCGTGACCCCCCACCAGAGTATCGTGATATTCCTTAAGGATGGAGGTAATGAAAGACGAATTTTTGGCAACACCATTCGCCCCTTGTACAACAATTTCCCTCCCTGTATAGTGATCCCCTGGAGTATCTACCCCTTTCTCGATCCTTTGCTTCAATTCAATTATCCAGCCATCTCGTTCTAGCTTTACCTCTAACCCGACCCAATCCACCATCTGGCTATGGACTAAGGCCCTAAAACTAACCTTGGGCTCCCCCTTCCTAGATAAAGCATCAGCTACTTTGATGGACTCCCTTGGCTTATATTGGATTTCAAAGTCAAACCCGATAAGCTTTCTAATCCACTTTTGATAATCATTACCCACTTCTCGCTG